TCACATGGACTAAATAATATACACTGTTTTGGGTTATTTTCCTAAGGAAATGTAGTAGAATACATGTTGCCCTAAATTTATGAAGAAATATTATTTATGTGCAACATTTTATAAGAGAAAGCAAGAAAAATGTGTTTTTTAATGTAATTTTCTGTGGTTTTTTGCTTATATGTAGGAAGATGTAGAACCCCTGACCTCTGTCTGGACAGTGCTGATTGGCCTTGTGCTGATTACATGCACTTTCCCAAGAACAAAAAAAACCTCTCTAGCATACACACCAAACTAAGCATGTGCAGAGTGTCTCCACGTGATATGTCTTAGATAAGGGGGGACACTAAGAAGAAGGGGAGGATCAGAGAAGTCAGTATCAAACAGACGTTTTACGCAATGCAGAGGATTAATCCCTTAGGTTCCACAGTGAGTATAACAAGCATGCATTACTGCATATAGTGACTGATTTTACTTTTGTGGGTTTAGTAACACTTTAAATACCCCCAAAAGAAAGCTATGTTTCATTTGGGTACAGTGATGAATGAGCAACTGCCATTCAATGTGTGAGAGCACTGAAAACTGAAAATTAGTCTGGGCAGGAAGGGGGTGAACGTGTCCGGTATTGAGGTGGTTAAATAAATCTTAATATGCTGCAATCCCTCTTTACGCAAGTGAAGATACAGCAGTCAATGAGTCATACTATGGCGTAGCATTTACTGCAATCCTTAGAATTTACTAGAGCATGCTTACACTACCACAGGGAAATCTTTTGAGTTTCTAAATACTGTTAGATTGCAAAGTGACAATAGGGTAATAATCCTCTGACCCTGTTATATGCTTCTGTCGGTCGCCTGTCATGTGGCCTTTCAATAGAGGCTGCAAGTGACCAATTTATCACACATTACAGAGGAATGGTCCACTGTCATTGCCAGCAGGAAACCCACTCTGAGAAATGTTATGCAGCCATAGCTGTAGTACACGCATGTAGACAGGTGGTTGCTGAAGGAGATCAGCAGCACTAAGATGCAACAATGGAAGAAAACAACAATTTTGGGAGCATGTAGGTCCCTTTATCAGGGCAGAATGATAAACCCACAATTGTACTAACAAAACCTTAAATAAAAATAATATTAACTTCTTACAGAGTTGAAATGTCAATATACTTGTAATGGACCAAGTAAGCCAACTTTGGCCTGCTCCAAACAAGAAATTATTTTAACCAGTTCCGTGCCGCCCTATAGCAGAAACACTGCTACAGGGCGGCACAGGTGCTCAAAATCACTTATATATACATGATTTTGCAGTTCCGGGTAGGGGGCGCGTGCGTGAGCTGCCATTTGCGGCCTCAGCTGACAATCACCGGGTCCCAGATGGTAATTACTTTCTGGCTCCCGGTGATTGCCAATTATCTCCAACGGGGGGAGAGACCTGTTTGTAAACAACACAGATCTCTCCCCTGTCAGCTCCTGCACACTGCTTTGCATGGCTCTGCATAGCAGAGCCATACAAAGCAGTTTGCTTACAGTGAAGCACACACACAGCCCCCATAGTGAAACAGCACACAGTTAACCCTTTGATCACCCCGGATGTTAACCCCTTCATGCCCAATGCTATTGGTATAGTGCCAGTAATTTTTTTTAACACTGATCACTGTATTGATGACATCCCCAGTGACACAAAAGTCAGTTCCCCCCAGTGTCAGAATGCCCTTCCTGCAGTTGCTGATCTTCGCCATTACTAGTAAAAAAAAAAAAAAAAAAGAAAATCCAGTATATATACCGCCATTTGTAAACACTATAACTTTCATGTAAAGCAATTAATTTACATGTATTGGGATTTTTTTTCTAGCAAAGACATGTAGCAGAATACATTTTGGCTTAAATTTATGATGAAATTAGATTTTTTACATTTTTATACTGGACATGTTTAACCAGTTGCCGCCAGGCCTATAGCCAGATGGCGTTTGGGCGAGCAGCTCGTCCCTCCAGGTGGACACCATGTGGCGTCCTTTCAGGCATGCACAGGGCCACTCTGTGGTGCGATCTGTCACTGGCCGTGTACCTTGGACATGGCCGATGACAGATATGTGTACCGGCCCTGTTTCCAGTACCATGTGACCTGCTGTGACCAATTACAGCAGGTCACATGACAGTTGTATACATTGGATGGCTTCCTTTCATGCCATCCATTGTATACAAGTGTGCTAGCTGTGAATGGTCACAGCGATCACATGCACAAGCTGGGCCAATCACAGCCCAGCTGTGTCATGTGATTAGCCGTGGCCAAATCACAGCTAAGCACAAAATTAAAAAACCCTGAATGAATCAATGTCATTCAGGTAAATGCTTGCTTATAGCAAAGTAATTCTTTGGTAACATTATACTACTTTGGTCATAGTGAAATATGAAAACAAATCTTAAAAAAAGAGAAAAAAATCATGATCATCAAAATTATCAATTTTTTGTACTTTCACCAGTCAGTGTCCATGATCACCACCATGACCAGTTATATGATGATGCTGTACTGCACTGGTGACAGTTTGTAAAAAAAAAAATAGTGAACATAATTTTTTTTTATTTTTTCATTTTCCGAAAAATTATGACAAAAAAATTACAACTTCAAAAAACTCGCTATGCCTCTTATGAAATATATTGGACTGTCTACTTTGCAAAAATTGGTCATTTGGGGGATATCAGTATTGTTCTGACATTCTTGGACCTCAAGAAATTAGATTACCCATCAGTACTTCAGGATTGATCAATTTTCAGATACATACCATAGTTTGTGAACTCTATAACGTTCCTACAAACTAAATAATACATCCTAATTTGGGTTATTTTCACCAAAGAAATGTAGTAGAATGCATCTTGGCCTAAATTTTATAAAAAAACAATTATTTATTTGCAAACTTTTATAACAGAAAGGTTTTTTTCAAAATTTAAAATTTTTGTTAATTTAGCAAAAAATAAAAACCCCAGTGTTGATTAAATACCACTAAAGAAAGCTCTAGTTGTGTGAAGAAAATGATACAATTTTGGTTTGGGTACAGTGTTGTATGACCACGCAATTGTCATTCAAAGTGTGAGAGCGCTGAAACCTGAAAAATGGCCTGGGAAGGAAGAGGGTAAAAGTGCCCAGTATGGAAATGGTTAATGGTAAAACGTCAAAAATATAGCTTTTTTTCTCAAAATTGTCGGTCTTTTTTTATTTATAGCACAAAAAATAAAAAATGCACAGGCGATCAAATAACACCGAAAGAAAGCTCTATTTGTGGGAAAAAAGGATGCAAATTTCATTTGAGTGCAGCATTAAAGTAACGCAGCGCCGTATCGTAATAAATGGCCTGGTCAGGAAGGGGGGTAAATCCTGGAAGTAGATCCAGGCACAAATGGACATTCTTATTATAGCAAGCAATCAAATCACATAGGAGTATTTGTTTTCACTTGCCCTCACATGTCAATTTATAACATTAGTTCTGCTGTGTTGAGTGTCAAAAATCTATGTGCATATTCATCCATTAGCAAAGTGTATCCATTGTGTATTTATGAGCCACTGTTGTAAAAAGAAATGCCATACAACATGAGAAATGGTTTTACAGATGTAGTAGATTATGTGCTGTATATGTCTGCCCACTGAGGGGCAGATCGTGTTTCAAGAACCATAGGCAGCGGGTTATCAGCTCATCCATGTCATGACTGATGGATTCAACAGACATTTTTCTTCTGTACTCGGGTAATGTTTGAATGATGCCCTCAAATGGTAAATTGATTTTTTATTGTTTCCCATAAAAAGGAACAATTACTCATTGTTTACACTTTGCAAATGATGACAAACACTTCCAGATCTAGAGAGTGCCCGTAATCATTTAAATGTTACACCCCATCTGCCTACCTGTCAGAATGATACCTAGGAAATTGAGTCTATTTATCTAGACTAGAACCAAACCAAAAACCTGATTTTAATGCCACCATTACAAATTAAAAGACCTGTCACATCACAAGCGACTGCATAGTTAGGCCAGGTTCACATATGTGTGGCCGTACGAATGGATTTCCATGCCAAGTCCCTGCACTTCTTCAGAAATCGCAGCCCACATGGGAACAGGGGTTCCCAGTATGGTTGCGATTTCCAGTGTGGGCTACGTGCCTTTGGAATTAATGGCACCCGCCCGCAGGTCCCGATTTCCTCTGTGTGGGTATTTGTGCAGGTACTGCAGTGGCACCACCCGCACTGAATGAACCAAGCCTTAGAATTAATTTGCAGAGATACAAAATGGGCACTCACAGACATTTGTAATGTATACCAAGCTGGCAGGAAGATCATGTCAGCGTGCATAGTTAGATTCCAGCATGAGCATCTGCAAATGCACATGAGCATGATTCTGCACATATAATTGTGCATGCCTGTGTCCTCCTGCTCACAACTAAACAGGCTATTTAAAGTCCTGCTAAACCTCAGTGATGAAAGGTATTCAGCAGTATACCTCTGACTAGCAATCCTGCAACCTGACTCTGTTGATTCCCACTTCTGACCCAACTTGTTCTTTGACCCTTCAGTGCCTCGTCCTTGTTTTCTCCTGTATTGGACCAGACTTGTTTCACTGACTATGATTTCTGGCTAGTGCAGTGATATTACACTGCCTGAAAGTTTTTCAGCCGACCTGCTCCTGACTGTTTCTTTTACAATTTGGTACTGCCTTGTCCATCTTTTGCTGATCCTGTCTTGTTTAATCGCTTGCCTACTGGGTACGTTTACCCCCTTCCTGCCCAGGCCAATTTTCAGCTTTCAGCCCTGTTGTACTTTGAGTGACAATTGTGCAGTCATGCAACACTGTACCCAAACTACATTTTTAGCAATTTTTTTTTTAAACAAATAGAAGTTTTTTTGGTGGTAATTAATCACCATTGAGGTTTTTATTTTTTGCTAAACATACAAAAAGAGACCAAAAATTTTGAAAAAAGTTTCTTAGTTTCTGTTATAAAGTTTTGCAGATACGTGATTTTTCTCATTCAGTGATGTGCTCTGATAAGGCTGCACTGATGGGCAATGTTAGGCTGCACTGATGGGCACTGATAGGCTGCACTGATGGGCACTGATGAGGAGGCACTGATGAGTCTAAATGATAGGCAGCACTGATGGGCACTGATAGGAAGAACTGATGGGCATTGAAAGCCGGCACTGATGGGTACTGATAGGCGGCACTGATGGGCACTGACAGGCATCACTGATGGGCACCAACAGGCATCACCGAGCAGGCACTAAAAGCCAGCAGAAATGGACAGTGATAGCCAGCAAAGATGGGCACTGATGGGCACTATTGGCCACACTGATGGGGCTATACTGATCTTCAGGGCACTGATGATCAGTGTCCTGAGGATCAGCGTAGATGTCCTCCTGAGAAATGCTGCTTACTGGTTTTCCTCTCCTCAAACACTGTCAGCATGAGGAGAGGACTGCTGATAACCAGCATTTCCTATTTACACTGTGATCAGTTGTGATTGGACACAGCTGGTCACGTGTAAAAGGTAGCTCTGATTGGCCCTTTATCAGACACATGATCAGCTGTGTCCGAAGGATACAGCGATCACAGTGACCTCAGGGAGCACGTGGGGGGGTGGTTCTGGGAGGACGTCCATGGACAACCTCCCAGAACTAGCCAACCGCGCTGTAGCCATCTTTTGGTTATAGCGCGGTCGGGAAGTGGTTAATTATTTAATCTCAATGGTTGTCTACAATTGTATGCTTTGTCACTGAAAGCCGCTTGATGACACTACTTTGAAATTATATTGAAGTCAACATCACCCACCAGCACTCAATTCACTCTTTTGGACATTCCCTGTCCTCCATTTAGGAGTGTTTTTATAAAGGAGCAGTAAGAGGGATTGCCCTTGTCATTCAGGCTCCCTATTGATTTAAGTGACAAATATTCCCAATAGCCCCTGGACTTAAAGAATATGTACTGTAAACCCAACATTTCATATTCCTGATATGCCTGCTGTACCTGTATGAAAAAGTATCCATGCTTCTATTGTTTGAAATACCTGGGGTTCCTGTCAGTCTATCTGCTTTCCTATTAAAAACTGACTACACCAGGCATGCCAGAAAACGTGGCTGTGCTGGGAACTTAGATCTCTTTCAATAATCAAGCTTGTCCTGACAACCCCCCCCCCCACCTGCACAGCCATTCCCTGGGAAGTTTACTGTATTGTTGTTTCTCCTCCCCTACTTCTATGCACAGCTGAGAACAGAGGGATTGTGATCACTTATTAAAAAGGAAGGAAAAGGTATGTATAATGTTTTTTCTATCTATACACAAATGTTTTACTTTTCATTTCCATTTTAAAAAGGAAGGGGTGGTTTTACAAGGTGAGGGTTTACATATACTTTAAAGGGTATACTGAGTCGAAGAAAATAATTTCAGTATATGCATTTTAGTATACAATTACCAGTTTAAACAAAACCACCCAAACTTTGTGAGATGTTGCCTAAAAAGTACCTCAACTACAAAAGGTGAGCCGTTCACAGCCATTTATTAAGATATGATATAAGACATTAAAATGAAAGGGCCCATGTCACAAAACAGCATCTAATAAAGGCTCTGTCACACTGATGCATTTTTGCTGTGTTTTTATCTTGCTAAAACCACAAGGAAAAATATATTTCCTTTTAAATCCTATGGGAATTCTCACACTGCTGTGCTTAGGATGTGGGGTGCAGGTTGCATTTTGAAAAGTTCTGTATGCTGCATGTTTGGTGTGCTATTTAAAACCAAACCAAAAAACACAGCTTCCCATTGAAATGAATGGAAAACCTGAAATAAGTAGGTCTGTATAGATTTCAAAACATAGCAATCCTCCTCTCCTCAGCAAACTCAGCCTTTAGGAACTCACAGGTATGTTTACCCCTTCTCCTTCGTAAACAAATCTCAGAGTAATACAAACCAGAAAGACCATCATTGCACACATATCAATGCATTCAGATAAAATTATGTTGTGTCTAGCACTCAGTATAACCAGCCATCAGATTTTACAGAAAGCACCACCACACCACTCTTAAAGTAACTGTAAAGTCCCTGGTGCCTAATTGTCAGTGTTGGATTGCTTTCTTTGGGGCCCTTCTGTAAGGTGGTGCAAGTGTAACTGCCCCTTTAGGAGTGTGCAGTGTATGTCTAAGAGGCTGCTAAACAAGGAGCAGTCTCCTGTTGAGATAAGCACAGATGATTCAGCTCACCCCTTCTAGTTCACAGGACTCTGGTCTAGATCTATTGCCTCATGTACCCAGGACCCAGTGACTCAGTCTCTTAGTTCTGGTGCTCACAAGGCTCAGTCTCTCAGCTCTGGTCCTTGCAAAGTATAGTCTCTCAGTCTGATCCCTCTGTGGGCTAGGTCCCAGTTGCTCAGCTCTCAGACTCTTTCTCTCTGAAGTGGTCGGACAGGCGCCCACAGTAGGGCCACTCTGTCTTGCTCCCTGTGCAAGACTGCCCAGATCTAAGATAAATTGCCCAGGAAAAGGCTGTCCTCTCTTCCTTCTGTGGGCAGTAATTACAGGGTATTAAAGTCTGCAGCTCCATTAGCCTTCATTGACTTATACTGCACTATGCTTCTTTGAGGACTACTCTTTCCAGAATCCATCACACTGCAGCCTGGTGGGTTGTGGGGGAAAGCAGGGTGGGGAATCATACAGCTGGAGGGCATCTGGCTACAAATACATTCATTGGTACTTATGCTATATGTATATTTTTTTTTGTGGGGAAAAGATATTAATCCATTCAGCGTTGGCACTATCTAACTTTTATCTAATCTAATAAAACATGTTTATATTTGCTTTAGCTGCTGGATTTATATAATAATGCATATACCAAGTAGATTTTTTCTTATTACATTCATTATTCAATTTTTCAGCTTTTATTCACAGCTCTAGCATAGCATTATGTGGTTGTGAAAACTGTGTTGTGCTTTACAAGTTGTTCACATGCCTGCCAAAGCTGTACAGGCAAACCAGGCACTATGATGAGGCAGAAGACACAAATCACCCACTAAATGCATGCACGCTTTCCTGCATTTTCAGACTGCATTTCACCATACAAGCCAAAAGGAAAAGCAGCCCAAGACTATAACTAAAGACAATAGATGAGAGGCTAGAATATTGTTGTATTCATTCCTGTGTATGTCCCTGTTAAGGACGTTTTACTCTCTTTGTATGTCCACACTACCAGTGTAATTGGGAATAAAAGTAAGGCAGGCCATAAACGAGTCAAAAACTGAACGTTCTGTTGATCGAAAAACAAAAAATGGTACATACGATTGTGCCATCATTTGTTGTTTTTTTTTTTTAAACAAAATCCAGCATGTTAGATCAGGCACTTTCAATTGCAACACAAAAATCACATGTCGCAGCTGGCACACTGATGTTGTGAAAAATGATCAACCAAGAATTCTAGTTCAGTTTTTAACTCGTCTATGGCTGGCCTAAGGGTAAATCTAAGGTTTTTAAATTGCAACCAGAACAGGAATAGTGGAGAAATTCCCCCATGGGGACACTCGTTCCCATGACAGCTGTCTAAGAGGCGATATCTATCACATTGGATAGATATTTTTTTTTTTAGAAAAGCCTAGGAGAAAGCCAATTTCAGGTCAGGAAGTGTACTACTGCAGGTTAAATGCACCTGTCATTGAATTCTGAATTATTTCAGAAGCATCTCAAACAGATGTCAGAGGCAAGAAAAATGCACTTGAAAGCACACACTGCATTTGCATAGGGACACTAGGTCTTAGAGTCGCTTACTATTCAGCACAACATTAATCATTACTATAATGCTGCTTCTATGCATTGGCCTGCATGATCTACTCCTGAACTAGCCCCATCAGTGTTGAACCACAACCCAATCTATGGTTCAGTTACTTAGTTACTAGCCTTCTACAATGTGGGGTATATAGATATACAGAAAATATGCTGTAAATAAATAAATAAATATATATATATATATATATATATATATATATATATATGTGTCAGACAAAGCTATATCTTATATAGCAATTGTAACGTGATGAAAGGTACATTGCCTGCATGAGTTCCTTTGATATTTTGCTAATCTTGCCTCTGTTTTTATGCAGTTACTAATGAACTTCTCTTCATGTCTTCCCTTCCACATGGACACGTTCCAGCTGCCTGTGTGCAGGCTCTGTACATCTCACCAGCATCCCCCTGAGATCTTTACTCAAAGCTTGCTGTCAAACCTAGCAAAGGAACACAGGAGCACTGTCTAAATTAACAGCATTCTAATGGTATTATGATAGTTTAGGATTATTTGTATAACTTTATGGAGCATACAATATAGAGCCATGTTTGTGAAAATCACTATATCATTTTAAAGTTGATGTAATTTTGGTAAATGTGTACATTTCTGTTCTTTCCGTCAAAAATATTTGTTTGGAGTAACAACTAAGTATTGAATAAATTGCGGTTTTCTTTGTATTTTGGCAGTTAACTAGAAAGGGTTGTGTTTTGTTGCATTCAGTATAATTTTAGAGGGCTGTTTCACACTTTCCATTTATAATTTTCCAATGCTTCAGATAGGCAGATAAGAAAGAAGTAAACAAAATAATGGCTGAATGTGGCCACTTTCTTTTTTCATTGTTGCCAATGTTGGGCTGCATAAACACACATCATGGATGCTGTTTACTTCATATGAAGTGAAAGTCAATTGGCACAGTCACCAAATTGTTCTGGATGTCTGGTTTGGATTGACTTTGTCTGTAGTACCTAAATATGTTGCGTATTACCATTTTGAATAATATTTTAACTTTTTACAGTAAACATAGATAATTGCCCAATGACTCCCTAGTCTATTGTATCTCAAACAAAGAACTAAAGTGAGAGAAAAAGGAGGCTGTATACATGTGTAAGAGAATACCTCGGTGACACATCATAAGCTAGTGCAAAAAAAAAAAACATTTTTTTAACCATGGACCAATTTAAATCTTACAAAATGTTAAACAAGCCATAAAATCTGTGATTTTCTATCCTGCAACCGAGGGTTGCAGGAAAGAAAATGGGGTTTGATTCCCCCATCAACACAATTAGTTTTGATGGGGGAATCCCTCCCAATGTGCTATTGTGTTCTCCCGGTGGAGCCTTCCCTGCTGGCAGAACACAATGATTACTGCTGGCGGCTATAACATCAGCAGTAATCACATGCAACAATTCTGACAGGCTTGTTGTGTTGAAGTCGATCGATGGATCGACTTGAGGTTTTCAGTGCAACCAGTCTGCCTATAGATGGATTCAATCTCAGCTGGTCCTTGCTGAATCAGCTGAGATTCAATCCATCTATGGCTGGCTTTAGTGTGCTTTCCTGGGATGATCAAAATAGTTTGCCTGAAAGTGTTCAGTTTGACCCATTTGCATCAAATACTAACATTTGGGGTGTCCGGTAGGTACAGCTGCAGCATCCAGTCCCACTACCAGCAGCCTGTCAAATGTTATAATAGGTTGAAATACGCAGCGTCAGAATGTTGTACAAGCTTTTTTTGTGTTT